AAAATGGCAACCAAAAGGACAGTCAAAAGGAAAAAGAAGCAAAAAAAAAAAAAAAAAAGCTAGATTATAAATCAGTGCAGAAAACTAAAAACAGGAACATGTCTGCATTGGTTTTACATTAATGGTAACTTTTAAGCATAATAGAAAATTGTGTCTTTTCAACAAGTGTGATTTTTAAAGTAATAAACTCAATGTAAATATGAATAAATTACAGATAAACAGAGAAGAGGCTGTGCTTTGTTTTAACTGTATTTCATGTGTAAACTGAATTTATTTTGTTGAAAGCGTGCCATTTTAAGATGATAAAAAGCTAAAAAAAATACCATCCAAACTTTATTTTAAACGTTTTATATTAAAGGCATGGTTGTTGTGTGTGTACCTCGCACAGAGGCAGCGGCAGATGTGGTCCTCTCCCTTCACCAGAGGAAGAATCACATTCTTCAAGTAGTTTGAAAGCGCGTCCATGACCAGTCTGAGACCAACAGAAACACAGATTAGCTGTCTTTGCTCGGCAATTACGTCTTATTTAACATTGTTCATTTACAAATAGGACGAAGTTATAACCAGGTTTGGGGGGAAACTACTTTACCGTCAACGGTGGGTGTCGTCGCATCAGCTGTCTCTGTTAAAAACTTTCGTGTTTACCGCGTTGCCATGGTTACTGTTACCGTGTTCAACTGCAAAACAGTTGTTTATTTTCAAATTATTTTGCTTTTTTTCTTTCTTTCTTTCTCTCCAGTCTCATGGAGACGCGCATTTGTTAAGTATTTACAAATTTAGCGAAGTTAGCATCACTTCCGGATCAAACCTTTTCCGGCCGGCATGATAGAACCTTCAGTCTAAGATGGCGCTTCAACTCAAGCTTACGTATAGTTTTGTTTTTTGACATATGTCAGTATGTTTTGTTTCTTGTTCTACGTATTGTGAATATTGTGACATTACTGTTTAAAAATAAATAAATAAAAGGTAATTCCGGTAACATAAGTTTTGTTATAATAGTGGGTATCTTTTGTTTTGAAATTGCAAGTTCCGGTTTAGCCAGGGCGGAAGTTGTGACTTGACCAGTGGACTGGTTGTGTTGATGGAGACGGTTAAAGTTGTGACAGCTTAAATGATTTCTGTTTCGTCTACAAAAACACAGGACGCTTAAGGATGCTTGTTTTTTCTGTTTGGTTTCACTTCCTTTTTAAGCTGCTACAAAGTAAAGACACACCTGTTTATCCTCAAATGGTGTCCCCATTGAGTTTGTTGATTCCTATAAATATTTGGGTATCTTGGTCGACTCACATCTCTCTTTTAAGCTCCATGTGGAAAACTTGGTAAAGAAACTGAAAGTTAAACTGAGTTTCTTTTTCAGAAACAGATCCTGTTACTCTGAAACTCCTGTTACTCTGAATACTAGAAAACGCCTTGTATCAGTGACTTTCCTTCCCTCCATTGATTACAGTGACATTATTTACATGAACGCTCCTACAAGAACTCTGCAGATGTTGGATGCTGTCTATCATGGTGCACTAAGATTCATAACTGGCTGTGATTATCGTACCCATCACTGCACCCAGTATTCACTGGTTAACTGGTCACCATTAACTTCACGCAGACTCTCTCACTGGTACATTTTCATCTTTAAATCACTTCTTGGTCTGCTGTCTTCATACATCTCCTCCTACATGTCTCTGTGTGAGTGCAGCTACAGCGTGCACTCTCAGGACATTATTACCTGCAGTGTTCCCTCAGTGAGGACTGAACTAGGCAAAAGGGCCTTCTCCTACTCCGCTCCTGTTTCCTGGAATATCTTACAAAAAGATTTGAAGCTCTCGACCTTGACCTCTCTAAGTGGCTTTAAGAACCTGTTGGACTCCTGGCAGGGACCAATGCAGACATGTTCCTGTTTTTAGTTTTCTACATTCACCTTATGATCTAGCTGTTTTTGTTACTGTTTTTGCCATCTTGTTTTAATTTGTAAAAAAAAAAAAATCTGTATGCCTTTTTATAACTGTCTATTGTTGTCATCATTCTTTGTTGAAATCAGGTCTCTCTTGTAAATGAGTCCTCGAGGCTCAATGGGATTTACCTGTCTAAATAAAGGTTGAATGAAAAAAAAAACCCTCCACCTGTTTAGAGGTTTAATTAATTTAAAACGAACAGATATAACAATTACAAAAATGGCTTATGGCCTACATATCCAAAATCTCAGAATAAAAAAAAAAAAAAAGTTTTCATACAAATAAACTGAACAGCACTGAATAGAAAGATTAATCAGGTGTTTGGATCTATCTATCTATCTATCTATCTATCTATCTATCTATCTATCTATCTATCTATCTATCTATCTATCTATCTATCTATCTATCTATCTATCTATCTATCTATCTATCTATCTATCTATCTATCTATCTATCTATCTATCTATCTATCTATCTATCTATCTATCTATCTATCTATCTATCTATCTATCTATCTA